TTTTAGCATTGTATTAGTTATTTATCTTTGTGTCATTATTAAAACAAAACTTTGATTTGCTTAGTATGCACAGTTCCAGAAGTGTTTTTTTCCATATCTAAGTACAAAGAAAATTTGAATTTAATTAATTTAATTGTGTTTACCAATGCCAAAGGCCTTTCCGAATGCATTATGTTTCTGTCAGTATATGAATAGCCTCATATGTTTTATTCAGACTGCTACTTAATGAGCATAGAACCTCAAATGCCATTTGAAAATATGAAACCTTTATCTTTTAACTCGGTTTTGCTTTTCATGCATAACATGACTCTAAAATCACAGTTGTGATATTTAGTAGCTGTCTTTGCAAAACTGTAGGCAATATATCTTTCACATTTCATTGAGAAGAAAAGAAACTTAATCCCACCAGGATCTCCATTATTAGTTCTTCCTCTTGATTTTTTCCCCGTGGGGATTTTGTGTTGGCCAGATGGCTCTCTGACGAATCCCCAGACAGACCTTCATTTTATGAAGGAAACTGGAAGAGCAAAAATCTATTTTTGAGTGAGGGGATTCAATCTTACCTCTTGTCATGTGGCTGACTATGTCCAACCCAGTCATTACTGGTTCCTGTTCAATACTGTACAATTATTCTCTCACGTGCTTAGCAGTTCAGCTTCTCTTTCGGTCAAGTCTAACGATACTTAGCTACTCAGCTGCACTCTCGATTCCCTTGAATTCTACCAGTGCTAAAGACTGTTGTACAGACCACATCTTTATGCTGGATCCTCTCTCTAAGGAATGGCAATTCAATTTCATCAGCAGCAAAAATTGAAATAGCCTTTTCCATATTCATCACCAATGTTTATCTTCTGTGGAGAAGAGTGGCTAGCTGAAATGCTTGAAAATCAATTTGATGATAAATTGTTTATTTCTTGAATGTTCCCAATTCTCATTTTCAAGTATAGTGAGGCCTCTAATCTTCAGGTAGTTACTTTTGTGATAAAAAAAAGTCAAACCTAGAAAAATAATTCCAAAGTCACGTATTCTGTCATAAATGGTTCTAAATAGTGTAGCATCTTAAAATGTTTATTCCAAATATTTCCTCTATGGAATAAATCAAAACAATCTCCATTTGGTGCCTTCTCACCTTTGTCCTTGTCTTAGTGTGGTCTAAGAATGTGTCCTTTCTGTATAAAACCCACTGTCTTATTTCTATAAAAATACTGAATTATTTTCTTCACTTAAGTTAGGTATGACCAATAAATGCATGAAATCTACCAATGAAAGTATGCAAAAGTAAGGGCTTGTCTTTTCCCTTACCTACCTATTCTTATGTTATATTCACAGTTTACCCTTACCTCTCTAGCAATACTGAACAACATGGGTTCTCACAAACTGGCCATTTCCTGTCTTATATCTAGAAGGGACTTACCATTCTTCATTGTCTATTTATGTAAATACTGTTCTATCTAAGCTCTGTTAAAATTTCATATTTATGAGGCTTTCTCTAAATCAGTGGTTCTCAACCTGTGGGTCACGACCCCTTTGGAGGTTGAGTGACTCTTTCACAGGGGTCCTCTAAGACCAGAGGAAAACACATATCTCTGATGGTCTTAGAACTGAGACACCGCTCCTCTGTCCGTCTCCAGGCGGGTCCGCCCACATGCAGATATGCCCACATACAACATGAGGAACTGTATTAAAGGGTCGTGGCATTAGGAAGTTGAGAACCACTGGAAATGAAGAACTGAGCATGGAAGCTAGCACCAATATTTCTGCTCTAAACATTTCTTTCTAAACACACACACACATACACACAAACACATAACTGCACTGTATTCTCTCTTTCTGGAGAGCCAATAACACTTAATAGGTTAGTTCATTGAATCAGAATTACTTATCTACACTCTCTTCTCTTATTAGAGTATGAGATCCTAGATGTTAGGGTACATCACTGATTCATCTTTGGATCCCAGGACCTAGCTCAGTACTGCCATGGTTATGGGCACTCACTATATATTTGTAAATAATTGATTGTATACTATATCTGACTTCTGTAAAATTATTCTTACATTCTGTTAAGTGATACTACTATTTTTCTATATTGACAACATTATTTGTAACTATATGATAAAAAGTAGAATATGCTATTTTAAATAGACTTATGTTAAATAGACTTACTGTGGTGATCATTTTACAATATATAAAATATCAAATCCTCATCTGTACACCTGAAAGTAATATATTATATGTCAATTATATCTTAATTTAAAAAGATAGATACGCTATTTTAAAAGTTTAATTTTTAAAGTTTTCTGTGAAACACAAGTACATTTAAAATTACTAACCAGAAAAGGAAGAAAAAGGAAGGGGATCTCAATGTATTTGTCAAAATTAACCCATATTCAGGTAAAATATCAATAAAGAAGGGACCTGAGTAAAATAAGACTTTTTAACTAAAAGATAAATTGAAAGTTAGCTTTTGTGATCTCTTCAAAATGAATTTAAATGGTTACTTTGCAAAACAGAGAACAGCTGAGGTAAACGGAATTAAGGGCAAAGCACGTCTACTCCAATTGCTTTAGAGGGTGGCCAGGGAGAGAAGTCGGAGACCAGGATCGAGTGCTCCTTACCTCACCAGTTATGAACAGTCTAGAATGACCCAAATTGTATTTTGTACTCGTTTTAGCTCATTTTAAACCGAGCCAAGATGTTTTCTATTTTTGAAGAGACAAAAATAGAAGCCAAAGTACAACCACTTTATAAAGTTGTTCATTTAGGAGACAAAACATTCCATTGTGTTTATTGCTTTCTTCCTTATAACGTTTTGGTAACGACAAAGATTTAATATTCTGTTAAGATGATTAAAATGATTTTACTAAGAACGTGCCTAGATGCTTGGAAGAGAGGAAGCACAGCTTATGAGTTCCTGATCTTTGAAAACATGCGCATGAAAGAACTTTTATAAGCATTCTTGGGATGATTTTTTTTTCTCTCAACTCCTCTACCCACACCCAACTTAAAAAAAAGAAAAAAGCTTTGGGTGGAGTTAAGAACTCTTTTCAAATCTTAAACAATAACTGGAAATCCTGAAAATGTATTCTCCTTTATCCAGTGAGGAAAACACTTTAAAGCACCCCCCTCCTTTTTTCCCCTAAGAATTGTTTAGCAAGGGATTTACTTAGTGGTTTCTATTTCGATAAGAAAATTCAGTTTTAACTGCCTGAAATATAATGCCATCTGTGAGTATTTCCCTCAATGACAAAATCCCTTTCCCCCAATATTACAAGTACATGGCCCTAATAACCCAGGTAAATATATCAACTCAACTAATTCTTTACTCCAACTAAGTGGTGAAGTTGGTGAAAGACAATATATGTACCATAAAAATGTGAATCTGATTGAAAATTAAAACATACAAAGCACACCTATAAACTTAAATTTTTAAGTATTCTGATTAATAAGTAATTATGTCTCATATATACCTTTACCAGGGTGGCGGTAGCTATCAAGTGAGAAATAAAGGCCAGGATTTAGTGGACCAAAGAACCACAGAATCACTCAGATGCCAGGTTTCTCAAATATATACCACCTTCAGGTGGCGGACACTCAGAAATAAAATCGGAACTTAGGCATAATGTATTTTAAATTACTTTGTGTGAAGTGATATACAAATGTGCAACATCATTATATACTTTTATATTTAGGGTATTCTGAGCTGATTATTTCCTATAAATATCATTCTGACTGTTCTCTAATGTAAGAAGGAGACTTCGTCTTTTTTCCACCAAGTCTTCCATGAGAAAAAATTCAAACATTTTATTTAGAGTTTATATGCACTTCAAAGAATGCTTAAATACCATTCATTGATCTTTATTACAGCCTGACCTTTTTTATATAATCATGACGGTCTTTAAAAGGATCCCAAAATCTGATTCTGTTTGGTCTTATTCCAAGAGACATGATCTCCACTCTCAGCGCCAACTCTGAATCTAGAAAGCATATGTTGTACCAGGTTTTCTATTCTTAGGAAATAGAGGATGAGTTATAAGCTGTCTCAGTGGACATCTTTTAGTGGCTCATCTTTCCTGGTTCCATGTAAGCCTTCATAGGGCCTGAGTTAAGCCACACAGGACAGCTCTCAAATCATCCAGATGTTCACTTGAAAAATAAAAACTGAGAACCAAAGCTAGACTTATGCCGCTATCTGAAAACATGGGTGATTCCAACTCAGAAAATCCCTATGTTCCTAATTCTGTACCTTTAATTTCTCACCTTGAAGGTCTGTGTAGCGAAACTGAGAGTTGTACACTTTGTAGGCATACAACTCTGAAGGCAGTTCCTGCTTCTCCATTTCCCTTTGACCAGAAACACCTCTAGAATAAATTCTTAGGTTGTTATGGAGAGATACTTAACACAAAGTGTGTAGGTCTTACTGCTTTTTGTAGTTGGTTATTACTTCACATTGTTTTTGCCTAAGCTATCTTGGCTTTAAACTTGTCTCCTGGAGTTGCTTTATATGCATTACATAGAAAATTGACATTTCCTATCTCAACTGCTTTTTATTCATAATATCTCTTTTCCATGACATCTACTGAATGAGTTAGACAAATACATAGAAGGCAACATAAACTGGCCATAATTAAATGACAAATTCTAACTTATACATTTCTCCACAAAGCAGAACACATAACTTACAATGTTGAAAAGATGATCAATGATATGAATAATGTCTACTTAAAACATTGTTATTATTATAAAACACAAATTAAGCAAGAAAAGTTTATTCCTTTTAACTCCCTTCTAAATCAGAGCAATTTATTTTGTATATTAATTTGCACATTTTGTCAAATAATACAACATACTAGATAGTGATGAGGATTTAGTATCTCCAGAAGAGATTTTATGTCAACAGCTACTCTTAAATTTCTTGCCCATATCTATAACTTAGTACTTTATGAAAACATAACTAAGCATGGGAAAGGGCATCAATAATGCCAAATTTGACCAATACTCACGACAGGATATTCCCAATATAGGCATAGTAGGAGCAACAGTAGGGTGTGGTCCCATCGCAGCAGTAAGATCTGCAGTCTTTGCCACATTGAGCAAGACAATCATCTGCAAAATAAAAAAGCATATGTCCAATTACTGTTCTGAAATCATAACTTCACGAAAAATTATTCCATTTCATACCTTAACCACTCCTCAGTGCATTTAGATCTTTGTTTCACTTACTCAGAATTGTAAAACATTTGTAAGCACCTGAACTAGTCTTCCTTCCCTCTTAGACATAAAGCCAGAAATTCTACTTTGACTCTCCTGCATGAAGCACCATAATTGGTGATCAGAACTGAATGAGATAATAAAAGGAGAAATGAATGATCCAACTAATCAGTCATTCAAATTATCGGTTGAGTTCTTATAATAATTTTTAAATGATAAAGTCTTTTGACTTTAAGGTATTACTCTCAATTTCATTTAACAGAAAGTGTTATTGACATGCATAATGTCAACTGAAGACAATTTTAAAATAATGTACTTTTTCATGATAATGAATTATATCGTTTTCTTTCTCTATCATTTCCTATCTTCATAATCACAGTTTGCTTACATGTGGTAACATAAATGGGTTTGCATATTCTGTCTGCATTTGGGTTGGAAATTAAGAAATTTCCCTAGATAAGTAACTTGAGAATAATTAAGTGTTTATGAGTCAAGAATCAATAAACAATTAAATAGCACTATGTGAAAGGGGGAAAGTATTTTCTGATTAAAAAGGACATGTTGGAACTAACGAAACCAAATTACTGTCTTTTCCCCCACGTTTCTGGAAAAAATAATTATAGCAAAAATGTTGAATAAAAATTACCCTGGCTTTTAAAAAATTCTTTATTCCACCTAAATAATGTACGTTTAACATGTTAAGGTTATCATTTAGTTATAGTCAGTGGTATAAATTATAATAGATATGTGAGTTTCAGGTACAGGATCAGGAAAACATTAAGGATAGTTTGATAATTTAAGTTAGATGTTCAAATATCACAAAGGAAGTCATTTCTAACTCAACCTCTGAAACATCAACTATTTTCTAAATTATGTAAGACTTTTGCTTTCTTGCTCAAGTCATAAATTAAAAGGTCAAGCTGTTATAGTTATATCTATATGTCCATGCAATTGATTTACCTTGAAAGGAAATTTTAGATTTTGCTTCTAAATCACCTCCCTGCCAAGGTGGGTTTTTACAAAAGGATGTGACCAAAAAGTAGCAAAGCTTATTTACCTTTATCAATAATGCATGGCCTTTGTGAAATAAGTGAAATAAGTTCACATTCTCTTTCCCTCAACATCATTTCTACCTCCTAAATTAACAAACTTCAATGTCTTCTTCTGGGATGTGGTAAGAAGAAATGAGAGGGGAAAATAATTACCTTTGTAAGATGCAGTAACTCTGCTTAAATTTACTTGAAAATTTTGAAGACAGAAACACAATCTAATGATTTATTGACAGCGACTGCTTTTTGCAGAGTACATCAAATGTTGAAAGGCTATTTATTTTATCATTTTCCCGGTGAATGTTTATTGCTCTCATTTTTTGTGCTGTTTATTTAATTCAAATATTTAGACTGCTCAGTTGTCCCAAGCGCTTAGCAGGAATGTTTTTGCTTCATGCTCTTAAAAGCTATTAAAAGCCATTCAGATACAGGGAGAGCTGCTGTCCCCACTTATTCTGTGGGAGCAGGACAACCAACATGTAAGCGGCTTCATGAGGTGCCTTTGAAAGATGTCCGCCACAGTGATCTGACTAAGCCCTTCATAAATATCAAAGATTCAATTACTACAATTATGCTCTAGTTACTATTATTATAAGGACATGGTGATATCAAAATATTTTGAGCCAATGTTACAGGAAACCAAGCCCAAAATCTTGTAGCCAAGAAGTTGCATTTTACCTGAAGCAAACATCTATCTAGATCACATCACACATTGTTCATTATTGTTGTGGCATTTTCCAGCGCTCTTGTCTGCTTCCCACAATTAAATGACCGAAAAGGGCAGATTTAATGGCACGGCACATACATGCACAATCACGACATTTCCAAAATGAGCCTCCAACCACACCTCAAAGCTTATTTTGATATGTTAGTTGCTTTCTCCAGTTTATTTGAGACTAATTCCATGTAGATCAGAGTGTGAAAATACAGGAGTGTTTTCTCACTTGCAAAAAGAGGGAACATTCCAATGGTCTTCAGCACATAATAATATTGCTTCTAACGGTCAAGTGAATATCCTTGAAAATCAATCACTTCAAACTTTGTCCAATGACTTTAATTAAAAACATGATCTGGAAGAATCCCCACCTTAAGAAATGTGTCCTACAGGAAAAGCAGCATCTGGCTGCAAACGTTTGCTCAGGAAACTGTACTTCTAAGCGACAGTTAAGGATAAGAGAGGAAGGAAGGGGAGGGGACAGAAGTCACTGGCTGAGGCCGTGAAGCCAAAACCTTGGCCAAATTCTGTCCTTGTAAACTGCACTGGGAGTTGGGTCTTTTTCAAAAAGTGACTCCACAGTCCAGCATGATGCTTCAGGTATAGAAACTTGCACTTGTTTCCTTAACAAATGGAACATGAATTTAATGCATTGGCTTCAGGGAAAATAATTCAGGTTATGGACAGCTCATCTCCTTGTGTTTTTGTCCCATTAAAACTAGCAATTCATTTAACAGGTTGTCTGAACTACTCTTATGTCGTCTGTAGTGTTCCCTTATCTCATCCCAACCCTCACTTCCAGTCATAACTATTAGTTCCAACCAAACTGAGTGATCTATTTTTGCATAGACACATCTCGTGGTTTTTGCCATTGTGCACACTCTGTCTTACTACTCCATCTCCTATGTCTAAGGATTCCTCATCTTTCAAAGGTCTAGTTCCTGAAAGTCCTATCCAATTTAATTTTTCTGAGCAAACACTGATTGAGCTCCACTTATAGGTCAGGTGTCTTGCTAGTCTCTAAAATCATTATGCTGAACAAAACAGACATTATATACTTATAAATATACAGACACCATATGGCTTATACACTTATACTCAACAGGGCCAGCAAAAAGACCCTGTTCTTCGAACACTGACAGCATGTGACTGTACTTCTCTTATGACCCATTTGAGTAATTCGGCACACCTTCTCTTAACCAGGACTCAGAGCGTGCGTTCTGTCCTATAGATCACTCAGTGAATATTAGTTGAATGAATATGTCAAGCATGAAAAAGCCTCTGAAATGAAGAGTTCAGGAATTAACATCAAAGAATATATCAACTAAACATTTCTAATGGAAGACAATAAGTCAACCTAGTATTATTGGCTTCCAATTGCGTATGTTGTAGTTTAGCAGGGAAAGGTGGAAGGAGAGAAGAAATGAATGGAGAGAAAACTTTCTAAATCAACCCTATTGGTAGCCATCTGCGGGTTTCCTGAACCCGAGGAACAGGACGAAGGGAAGGAAAAGTGTGTAAATTAGAAGCTTTCTGTTTACCACAAAGAAGAGAATAGACGAAAGAATAAGAAAAATTTGCTTTCAATGGTGTGGTTGAATAAGGCAAGTGAGGGTAATATGGTTTTATTTGCTGTGTTCAATTTTCTTATTTTTTCTTTTTTTTATAAACAGAGGAGGTAGGAAAGAATTATCATTGCTTCAAATAAACTAATAAAGAGATAAAACTAATATTAATGCAGTTGATCTTGTTAGTCTCTCAAGTTCCAAAAACCCTATATGATTAAGTAAAAGAAACAAGTGTAAACAGATTAGAATGTGGATTCTCCTAATTAAACAGGAATTGTTTTTCTTACTTTTATAAAATTCTGCATTTGAAAGTCAGCATTTTTCCTACAAGAAAACAGCTTTAAACTAACTTACAGAAACCACTAATTTGCATTTTAACAGACTGAAAATTCCCTTAAGAGTTGTCAATTCCCTTACTTGTGTCAATTCTGGCAAAGTTGAAAGAGGAATTCAAATATTTTGATGTTCAGATAATGTTGAAGAATAGCTTCATTTCAGTTGTAGTATCCTTATATGCACTTCATAAAACAATCTTTATATGTATTAAAAGGTAAATCAGTACTATAGATAAATTTAGTATTGCAAGGTCATGGGTACCAGCCTCTGGTTTTTGTCACAGGAAATTAGAGACATGAAAACATTTTGCAAAACATTTTGCTTTTAGCTTGTTTTGTGAATAGAAAACAGATGCAAAACTTGTGTAATTAGCTTTATACATGAATAAAAAATGAAAGGCCATATCATTGGGTTCCATAGCAATCACAAAACAAGAGAACCACTTTGCTTCATCAATTATCAGCAATTCTCACTAAGAGTAATTAGAAGGAGGAAAATGAGATGTCCTTCACCTACAAACAAGGGTTTAACAAAATCCAGAAAACAGATTAGACTCTGGGTGAATTGATGCCTCTCAAAAACGTTATGTTTGACTTCAAAGCATCCAATTGCCCAGGCTAGACCCTTGAGAATTTTTTTTTTTTTTTTTTAATAATAAAAACAAAGGTCTAAGCGTTTTTATTTCCAAAAGCGAAAAAGCGGAGTACTCCGAATTTGAGCTGGGGAGGGCAGTGAGTAGCCTATGCTGAAACGGAAAAGCTTTCCTTTGGGAACTTCAGCATTGCCCTTAGACTTCATGCCTTTTTAAAAACCATTTTCCTTCCACCCCTTAGCCTCCAATCACCCTGATTCCTGAGTCGCGGATCCGACTGGATAACCGTTACGCTATCCAGAGAGTAAAAGCCCCTAAATGTGGAGTTGGGATTCCACGTTGCTTTGTGAAGAAAAGAGAAAGGAAAAGAAAATTAAAGAGAAGAAAGGACACGGTCAAGGAAAGGTTCACGACAAAACCGCGTGGAAGTGCAGCCCAGGCTCCCGCCGCTCCAGGACCACACAGTCTGCACTCCCGGAGGCCCCCAGGCGCCCGGCTCCAACCGCGTCCCCTTGAGGGGGACCCACGCGCCGCCCCAGGCCCCTGTCGCCCGCCGCCCCGTGTCACTGACCTGCACACACAAAGAGCAGAACCAACTTTGGAAGCAAGACCCCTGGACCCCCGGGCAGCCTCCGCGCGTCCATCCAAGCCGGTGGCCCGAGGTTGCGCGCCAGGCCAGACAGATGGACAGACAGACTGGAGCGAGGGCTGGCTGGGAGCAGAGGGAGAGCCCGGAACGGGAAGGGGATGGAGGGGACGGAGGGCGGTCAGATGGAGACAGCAGTGCTCCCGAGAGGAGGGTCGCGTGGAGACCTGGCCATTGCCTGGGCGCCCGAGAGGGTAGCTGGGGACCGCACCCGGCAGCGCTGGGGTCCAGGGCTCTTTGTCTCTCCCGGTGGGACTCCAGCAGCCGGCGAGGCTGCCACTCGTGTGTCCGGAGCCACCGGGCTCACATTTCATCTCCGCCGGTGGCTGGGGGCGGAGGTGGCCCCGACTCCTCCCCAGGCTCCAGTCCTTCCTTCTGTAGTGACCCCGGAGCATGGTCCTGTCCTGAACGAACTTCTGACTCTTTGCTCTGGCTGTTGTTAAGGAGTTTGGTAAGCTCCTTTTCTTTCTTTCTTTTCTTTTTTCCCCCAGCCCAGTCCTCCCGTCCAATTTTTCCTTTTGAAGCAATGGATGAAGAGATGAAGAAGAACCTTATTTTTTGTCTTTAAACAAATGGAGGGCATTTTCACTGTGGAAAGTGTTCAACAAAGAAAGCCAATGATGAAAATGCAAAATTGAAAAGTACACATACAAGTATATGTTATCTCTACTGAAAGCTGATAAAAATGTTTATTTGTTAGACATCCAAAGCATTTCCTCTAAAGTAAAGAAAAACAAAACAAAGCAAAAATGCACACCATGGTCACTTATCTGACAGTGCTATAGAGTTACTGGCCTATGGCATTACATAAGAGAAAGAAAATAGAATTATAAACATTGAAAGGAAAATTGCCACTTGCAAATGATACGCTTGTATACATGGAAAATCAAAGACAATAAACTATCAAGCTCTTAACTAGAGTTGAATGACTAAAAATTCAACAGCTTTTTTTTATAAAATTAAAAATCAGTTGGAAAGTTATCAGTTCTGTGCATGAAGAGGTAAAGGACATAAGTAAATAGAGATGCTTCTCTTGACTAAAAAAATTCAACAGTATGAAGACATCAATTTTTCTGAAAGTAATATATAAATCTAGGAATTAAACTAAACTCAGTAAAAATACCAACATGAATTTTTTTCAAACCACTCTGATTCTAAAGTTTACATAGAAAATAAATATTTAAAAATATCTATTAAAAACGAGTGAATGGGATAAACCTCATATATTCATAATAAATATATGAAAACATCACAATCATTACAACATTTTGATTAACACTAGAATAAGTAGACTAAATGAGACAGAATTTAAAAATAGATATGTACAGAAATTTAATTTATGGTTTAAAAAAGTATCATTTTAAAATAATGGGTCACTCAGTGAATTGTGTTGGGGCCATGAGTAGGGATCAATGAAGTCTTATCTTTTTTCATCAAAATCAATTCCATATGAGTTAAATATTTAAGCATAAAGATACAATTATGAAAGTATTAGATAAAAAATGAAAGGATGACATTTAAATAATGATGGAACAAAGAATGCTTTTCTAAGCATTATTTTAAAAAGTCTCAGAAACCATAAAAGAAAGAAAATGAGCAATTTAAATCTATAAGATTTAAAACTTTCTGTACATGGCAAATCAAGCATTTAACTGGCAAAAATATTCTCAATGCGTAAGATAGATGGAGGCCTGATCTTCCTAATATATAAATAAGGAGCTTAAAAAGTTAATAAGGTGATGCACTGGCTTGTATGGCTCAGTTGGTTGGAGCATCCCCCATGTGGGTTTGATTCCAGGTTAGGGTACATACTTAGGTTGCAGGTTCTCTCCAGGTATTGCCACATGTAGAAGGCAACTGATCGATGTAGCTCTCTTACACCAGTGTTTTTCTCTCTCATTCCCTTCCTCCCTTTCAAAAAAAGAAAAAGTATAAAAAAATCAATAAAGTAAAAAAACAATCAATAGAAAACTGAGCAAGAATATTAACAAATACATATCTGTCTTCTATGTCTTCTACTGTTCTGAACATTTAGAAGATGCTCATCCTTGCTCCTCAAAAAAGAAAAAAGTAAAAATTAAGTTGATAGTGAGACAACATGATTTTTGTGTCAGATCAGCATACTCCGCCACCCTGCAAAGTAAATGTTTAAGGAGAACAATGTGGCAGTATTCATCAAAATTCAAATGCATACGGAGGTTAATTTAGTGTGATTCCTAGTGTGAATTGTACCTCAGTGTAGACCCAACCATCCACCTGATCCAACTAGAAACCCAGTCAATTCCTCCTTCTCTCTCAGCCCCCACAGCTGATCTATCACCAAACTCCACTAATTGTATACCACCTAAACATATTTTCTTTTTATCTTCTATTTCTGCCCTAATCACAGCTCTTAGAGTTTCCACAGTAAGCAGTCTCTTTGCCTCTGGGAATATTATCTAGACTGAAGCTAGAATATTTTTTCTGAAATTACAGATTTAATCACATTCACTTCACCTGTTTAAAACTCAGTGGCTAGGTTCTGTCACTCTCAACCTGATCTCAACACTCCGCTGGGGAGCATTTCTCAATATCTGGAAGGATGGTTGGAGCCTGGAGGAAATTCCAGATATACAGGACTTTGAGTCCTAAAAAAAAGAAGGTATAGATGAAAGGAAGTATTTTCAGAGTCAGAGAATGGTATTGAGGATTCTTGCAGTGGTAAGATACTGGCCTCTTCACTGAAATTGGATGCAGAGCCCTGGGTAGGAAGGATTGGAGAGGGGGCAGACATGTAGTGATGGACAAGGACTACTCCTGCCCTGTGGTTGCATACAGTCCTCGAAGAGGCTGACTGTTGCCATGGGTGCCACCAGGAAGCTGTAGTATTGGTCAGAGTAGCCTTTCCAGGTTACTTTTGAGAACAGAGAGTCTTCTCATACTGTCCAACAAGCTTGCCTCGTGCTTCACCATTTTGAAAGAAATTCCACCTTAAAGCACCCAGGTGCTTAGGAAACCCAACCCAATTGACTTCCAAAGGCAAAGAAAAATGTCAAGGCCTTTAAGAAAGAATTTGAAGGAAAAATAAAAGAAAAAATATGTATGTATATATGTATACACAATATATATGGAATGAGAAACCTGAAGAACATAGCATTAGAGGGTATAAGAGTTTTTGGAAATTAAAATAATTTGAGTTTTCTTAAATGACAGAAAAATTATATAATGGTCATCAATTAAAAAAAAACTTACACTATTAAATCAAATAGAGAGTATATTTCACAACAAAGGAAAAAATACCAAGAAATAGAAACCATAAATGAACACATAAAAAACACTAAGACACACAAAAGAGACCTACCATGGGAAGACAATGCAGGCTAGAAGTAGTGTTAGGGAAGACTTAAGCATCAACAAGTTTTTTCTTCTTTAAATTCTGAGCTATGATAGGATTTGGATTTTCATACTGAAAATGGTGAATTTCAAGAATACTTTTTTGTTAGTTAAAAGAGGCATGCATATATACATATCCTAGAGACCTATTTGAATAAATATAACTTTAAAATCACTTAAATTTTGATATATAATAAAATAAGTGTTCTTAAAAATAATTATAGGTATTCAGAGTTCTAATTTGAAACCTCAGAATTTAAAAAAGAGTAAAAGTATTTCTAAATTTTTGAAAGCTGAAGACTCTAGTCCAAGATTCTATTCCCCAGTTCCCTATTTGAGTCCATCCAGATGTTTACAGCAATACGTATTATAATTTTAAAACATGCTAAAGAACTTACATGTCCAAAGAAGTAGAACATTTGACTGAATTAGGATATATACATATTATAAATTAATACTAAGTACTTTAAAATGATGGGAAAAGCCCTTATGATAAATAGTTAAAAGGATAGATGGGAAATGGAAACTGGAAATAACCCATGGATAAACAAATTGTGCTATATCCTTACAATGAAACACTACTTCGTAATAAATATGTTTGAAGTATATGCAACAACATGGATGAGTCTCTGTAATAATATGCTGAGCAAAGAAGCCAGATATAAACAGAGTATTGCATAATTTTGTTAATATAAGACTGTAACACAGGTGAAATTAATCTGTGATGACAAAAAGCAGACTAATGGGACCTGGGGGTAGGGAGGAATAGGAGCTTGATTATAGGGGGTTGGAGGAAACTTTTTGGGGGTGACGGAAATGGTCTGTTCCTTAAAAATTGTGGCTGTTATTCAGGGGGATACATGTGTTAAAATCATGGACTTGTACACTTACCACTACACTTCAGATGTTTTCTTGTATGTAAATTATACCTTAAGAAAGTTCATTTTTTTTCTCAACAGCAAGTATTTTAGCTGGCTTCAGAAAGCTTCGTGAACTTCTTTAATGTGTGAGATCCAGTACCAACTGTGGAAAAGGTATAGGAAATAACCTATATTGCTGTATGGAAGAGCAGTTTGATAGAAGCACTTTGATAAATTCACTTTAGCATCCTCCCACCACCACCCCCCACACACACAATTCTATGGCACCCAATAATAATCTACCATTACTGAGGAATGTTATCCTTACAGTTTAGAAAGTCATCTCCATGTGTGTAGTATCTCATGTAATCATCCTAACAACCCTGAGATGCATTATATTACTATTACTTCTTAAAGTGTAATTACTGTAGTTATGCTAAAGTTTAGAAGTCTGGTTCTGAGGGCTTAGTGAGCATCAGAAGCAGAAGCTGCAGGCACAGCCTGTTGAAAACACATTTCATTAGACTTATCTCTGATTCATTAAGTTTAACAGTCATGGTCAGAAATGACTACTCCTACTCCTGGGTGATAAAGGAATTCACCTTCATTGATAATACTTATATAATTTTATTTTTACATTTAGATCTCTTTGTTGTTAGGTGCATAATTCAGTAGAGTAGTAGGATATAAGATTAATATGTAACAATTATTAAGCATGCAACTACACAAATCACAACTAATGGGAGATATATTTGTTTTGTTGGTGAAAGAT